AATAAATGTTTATGTCAACCTTGAATCTTTCATGTTATCTTTCAGGATTTTCCCTCTGAAAATCATGAGGGACCATTTAAGAGGAGGTCTTGGATGACCTAAGAGGCCTCTAGGGACAATCCAGATTATTTCAACCAAGAATCTCTCATAATAATAGCTGCTCAAACAATGGCATCCGCTATGTCTGCATTATCTAAAGTATTCTGGAGAGCAGTCCTAGTGACTAGCTTACACTTATCCAACATTATGGAAACCTTGTGCCTACAGTCTTGTGATATCATGTCTTTAAATTTTAAAATGTTTTCAGAGAGAGAGTGAAGTTATAGTGACTCATGAATGCCTGTTGGTTTACAGTTCTCCTTTGAAATAAAATTTCTGACCAGATCCAGGTTCGTTCCTTGTTGGCATTGGTGCTTGTCTCAGTCTCTTCCATTCATTGACAACTGCCACCAAAAGGAAAACTGGAGAGAATGAGAACAGAAATTATCATATCTTGTAGAGGGGATATTGTATCTCCTTTCAGTTCACTTTGCTGTGGGGGGTCAAGAGAGAATGTGACAGGTCTATACTATTATGGTCACAACTTTTAAAATTATGATAGATCTTGTACAGAGTATTCCTTGTGAGGGGTCATAGTCTGCTAAAATTACTGTTCAGTTAAAAAGTGTGTATCAACATTATATATGTAATTATGAGATTTCACTATACATTTGTTACTGAAACATGCTGTAAGTATGTGGAATGCCCACAGACTAGCTCCTCAGAAATAATCAAGGACAGCCAACAAAGACCTAGCAGGTCATCTCAAACATATTATACTGAAGATGTGAGCAAGAAATTTAAACTTCATTCAAGAGACACTTTGGATCTCATGTATACAGACCACTTCGTGTTCACTCTCAGCAAAAGGAGCACTTAGTTAAGGAAAGGAGGGTAAAAAAAAAAGAAGAGCCAATGGCTTCTCCATTACCTCTATCCTCTCTCTCTCAACTGAAACAAGATTGCTTGAGAGACTTTGAAATGAAAAGATTGTTTCCAGATTGGAAAGGAAATCCAGACTGTGTACTTAGAACTTGTGACCTGTCTACAAAATCTAGTGGGGTGAGAAAAGCTGTTTTCTTCACATCTTAATTATCTGGTAAAGATTAGGAATACGGTTGGTAATTTTTATTATTATTTGTGATAATTTAGAAACCTTTTTTCTATAAAAACTTATAAAACAACAAAAAGTCTTGCAGCGTTTTGGAGGCTAACAAAAACGTAGATGGTATCATGAGCTTTCTTGGGCATAACCCACTTCTCCAAACACAGCTTAGGATCAGAGCTGCCATGAATCCTCTTTATGACTGTGATGGGCAGCAATCAGAATCCAGAACAGAATAGTTTTTCTATAGTTAAAACTTCTATTTTATCTTAAGCAGTGAGTTTCAGGAGTGGTAAACTTCTGGGTCCCCTATTACAGAAAGGATGTGGATACACTGAAGAAAGTCCAGCAGAGGACAACAAAAATTATTAGGCTTCTGGAGCACATGACTTACTAGGAGAGGCTGAGAGTTTTGGGTGTATTTAGCTTAAAGAGTGAGGAGGGATTTGATAGCAGCCTTCAACTTCCTGATGGGAGGTTCCAAAGAGAATGAAGCAAGGCTGTTCTCAGTTGTGTCAGATAACAGAATGAGGAGCAATGTTCTCAAGTTAGAGTGGGGGAGGTCTAGGTTGGATATTAGGAAAAACTATTTCACTAGTAGGGTGGTGAAGTACTGGAATGGGTTACATAGGGAGATGGTTGAATCTCCATCCCTAGAGGTTTTTAAGTTCTGGTTTGACAAAGTCCTGGCTGGGATTTAGATTTATGTCCTCCTGAGGTCTCTTCCAACCTTATGATTCTGAAGCTGGTGGATAATTAACAACCTTCGTTGGGATAATGAACTTATGTACATATCGGAAAGTACAAGACACATTTTGAGGATGCAAGACTTGGACAAAAACGCAGGTGGATATTGCCTTGTGTGTAGTTCATCAGTGGCTGAAAGAGCATTCATGAAACTCTGTAGGGTGTGACTGCATGTTGAGGGCTGTGAGCGAACAGAGCCTATAGGGTTTCTTGTTCAGCAGCAAAACAGTGCAAAAACCACTCCAGAGAATTAAGGGGTCACAGTAGTTTAAGCAATCCTGAGCCTGTTGCAGAGGGTGTTTGCCAGAGTGCCTTAACGAGCTGAATAATGACTTAGTTAGTTGACAGAACCACCCTGGCTGGGGCCATCAATACTGAAATGGCCACCTATTTGAAAGAGTCTGCATATCAAACACAAAAACTACCCTTCTCTAAATTTCTGAATGAGCTCTGTGGTCCTCTTTGGTGGTGAATTGTCAGCACAATAGCCTCATTTGATGATGAGGAAGAGGATGCAACAGGGTTCTAAGGCTATGTCTAGACTATGCAGAAATTCTAAAAGAAGATATGCAAATTCAGATCTCACTTTCCAAAGCTGAGCTTTTGAAAGTGAAAGTAGTCAGGACTTGTTTTTGGACAGGCTGCAGTTTCTTGATACAGTGAGCTGTAAGCATAAATATTGACTGTAAGCTTCTTGGAATGCCAAGTGGTATCAGTGCCAGGAACCTATGTGGGGTCCCTTGCAGCTGCATATGCTGCTGGGGTGGCAGTGACTGGCACTGTCCAATGGCTCCACAAAGCTCATTCAGGGATGACCTCGACCTGACGCAGGTTCTGGAGGGAGCATTTCCTTCTTCCTCTGCAACGAGTGCCCTGGGGAAGGGTTTCTGCCACTACCTGGCTTTGGAACTTATCCACTCATTTGAAATACTGAGCCTGAAGAAGGCATACGCATTTTCTTCAGCACCAGCAAATAGGACCAATGTACCACAGATATCTCTGGTGAGTTGCTCTCTTATACTTAGGGCTCTTTTTCTATATGATGATTCTGATGGAGGGCAAAGTGCTGCCTCCATAACTAAGCACTTGATCTACACCTCTCTTTCTTTGAGTGGGGCTTGAAACCCTGACAGATGCAGTGGAAAGAGATGCCTCTCTCTCAGCCTTGTATCTGTCGCAGCTGGTTAGAGGCACCTCTATCCTGATCCTCCTCCAGCTGGGGAATAATAGCAGCTCTCCCCTCCAGTCCAGGTGCTGCTGCAAGAAAAGGACTGGGGGAAGTCCTCTCTCCCTGCTACAAACCCAGAACAATCTGAGCCCAAACCCCTCATTCCTGGGCCCACCCCAGAACCTGCACTCCCAGCCTGCGTACTCACCCTAACACACAATGTTCTGCCCCAGGCCCGAGTCTCCTCCTGCACTCCAAATCTTTCTGCCCAACCTCCACCCCACCACACATCACCTCTATATCCGTGCACATAACCAAATTCATTCTGCACATGCATGGGAAAAAAGAGGGAACATTCCTGGCCAAGTGTGGGTCACTGGGAAGCACAGATTTAGTGCAAGTCTGGCAGAACTTAAATCTAAGTGAGCAGAGCATTGTTTTGGTACTGAAAGAGAAAAAGTGGTCAAGAGAACTGAAACAAAGGCCTAACACTAAAACTTTGCTAAACAAACATCCACTCATCTAATTAACAGTAACAAGATACGTACACAAAGGACTGAGGGACTCAGCTGTCACAACAAAACTTGCCATCACCTCCCCCTTACCGGAGGCAAATAGTAAATGAGGGAAACTGTGGCAGTTTCACCCTTGAACATCAATAATCAGTGGTGCATAACAAGAGGGTGTTTGTACAATCCTAACGCTGAGGGAAAAAAATTCTCTGACAGCTATGCATGAGGCATGCACCCTGCTACAGTGGAAAGGACATGAGCTAGCACTCAAAGAAGTACAGTGGTGTCAAATACAGGAAAAATAAAAGAAACAACATTGCTATCACACAGAGATCAAGTACAAGATGTATCTTCTCAGTGTGAACTAGACTTCTCAATGCAAACCATAATGCTGAACTAATAATTACTCTAGATGGAATAGTATGAGTAGTGAGACTTGAAACAGATTTAGATTTTAAGGCACTGTTCATAATGACAGTTTAACAGGGAAAAATAATTTTATCATGGTCTTTAAAGATATGCTTAAAAAACAGGGAGATTTTTTTTAAATTTCCCTAGCTGCACATGACTCATATTTGAGGGAGTAGGGGTAAATTCTTTAAAATAACTCATATTAAACATTTAGAATATATATTCTTAAATGTCTTGTTGCACCTTCGTGCTTATTCACAGTTGGCCACAAGAGGGAGTATTTGAAAGAAAATTGAAGATACACATAGGTAGTGCTTTTAGAGATGTAAATTCCTGGTTAATCCTGAAGTGCTGAAGGCAGGGGCTGCTTGGGCCAAACCAGGGCATCACTTACCAGGCAGGCAAGCATGCCAGTAAGGTTGATGCTTACTAGGTAACCAGTTAACCCTTCACATCCCTAGTAGTGCTAACCACTGATACTGTCAGTTGTCTACCTTATTTCTCTATCCCTTAATTTTAATGAAAAAGCATATAGCAGCCTGCAGCATCACAGACAAAACAGCATCTGAATGGCAGGTAGATTGGACAGTAGATAGGATTGAAAGTAGTAACTGTGAGGAACAACATTGAAAGGGAGCTGCAAGGCCCAATGCTTGCAATTTTAGAGACTCATGAAACCTTAAATTAACTGTAGCAGAAAAATACCACAAGATCCCACTTGATGAAGGGGGAAATGTAACAAGCGTATTAGAACTTAATATAAAGCCTAGCCTTAAACATAGCACAAAATAATGTACTATAATTCTTTGGAACTTATAATACGTGCACATTTATTTTCATTAAGGTGTTTGGGAAAAATCAGTTGAGTCACACATATTAACTTGGGAAATAAAATGTACCTTTTCATACAAATTTGAGGCTCCTAGAAGAAAAGCAAGATGCCTTGCTGAAATTGAAGAGTACTTGCAAAGTATTTAGTAGGATCTCAACAAAATGGATCCTTCAGGCAGTATTTTACCTTCACTTAGTAAATTTAATCCATCTCGCTTTCCATCTCCATCTTGTGAATTACCTGGATCCAGAGATGTCTGAGAAAGACTAACTTCTGCTGAGAGTTGATCCAGACTCTGAAAACTTTTCCTGTAAAACATATCATTTTTCCTAACTTACAAAGAAAAGTTACAACATTTATTGAAACTTTAGTATGTTTAATCAGTCTTTAAAAAAGTGACCAGCTAATTTTGCCTTCCTTTGATATTCTCTCTTTCAATTTTTTAAACCATAAATTAATGAAAAGATTAATTTGGTGAATCCACTGGTGGGGGGAAGAGGAAGAAATATGAATGAAATGAAAAAAGTTGGAATTTTCATTACAAAAGATTGAAGCCTAACAGAATGAAAATTCATTACTAACAGCGAACTCTGTTAGGGTTGCCAGATGTGGCATGATTATGTACTTTCTTTTTCTCCCTTGATTAATTGAACAATATTGACAAAACCGTCTGAAGATGAAATAAACTATATGAAAGCATAATATTAAAGTAGCTCTTTAGTATACAGAAAAAGCCAAATGCAAAATTAATCCAATGTGACCATACCCTGACAGTTTATGTATACAAACTTTATGGTCTTCAGTGCATCCATTTAATTTCTCGCTGGAAAGTTAACCCTGGTTAAGACATTTCTAGACTTAGTACCACCTCTTTAGAGCTACAAAAACTTCCATTTTCCTACTCTGAATAATGTTCATTATAGTAAACTCCTTATTTCATTCCCCTTGTGAAGTTAATATAATTTTCAAATTTGTTTCCCTACTAGGGGAATGAACGTATCCACCTTCCAAGAAGGCGGGGGAAGGAGAGACAAACACTCCAACTAAAAGTTATTAAACCTGCTGGAATTATGCAGCTAAAAGATGGAAATGAGCATGCAAATAGCCATGCACTAGACACCATCTCAGTCCAAAGGCAGTTGAGAAGGAACTGAAGGTGGTTAACCTGCACAGTCTTATGTAGCTTTGGTATGGGCTCAAAGATGAATAGGGCATACACACAGGCCGAATGGGCACTGCTACCAAAAACCTCCAATCAAAGACACAAAAGTGCATGTGCACTGAATGTGGAGCACCTGGGGATGTTACTCAAGGAAGCATTAGTATATAAACTAAATTATTTAATTTGCCTCACAGACTGGATGGGATAAATCTTATGATTAGAATACTGATGTAGAAGAATACAGTAATTCCTCATTTAACACGGTAGATACGTTTCAGAAAATGATTGTGCTAAGTGAAAACGTGTTATGCAGGGTCAATTTGCCCATTGAAAATAATGGAAAAGGTGGGGGTTGAGTTTCAAGCGCATGCGCGCTCGCAGCTCCAGCCTGCACTTGTTAGCAGCTGGGACTGGGACATAAGGTTGGGGGAGAAAGGGGACTGGGTTATAGAAGGGAGATGAGGTGTTTGGCTCTGGAGAAGGGAAGGGAAGGACAGAGGAGGGGGCTTGCAGCCACTGGCTGCGTTTCCCCAGCTGGCCGGTCACCGGCAGCTGCACAGGGCTTCCTCTGCCTCCTTACAAAGCGGTGGAGGTTTGCTGCTCGCTGCATAGTTCCCCGGTGACCCCCCTGGCCGGACGCAAGGCATCTGGCCAGAGGGGGTCACCGGGGAACTGGGCTGCAAGCGGCAAACCTCCGCCGCTTTGCAGGGAGGCAGGGGAAGCCTCGCGCAGCTGCCGGACACCAGCTAGCCCTAGGGGAAATCATGTTATTGCGGGGATGGGGTCGTGTTGTTTGAAAAATGTTCCCTAAAAAAAATCGTGCTATCGTGAAAACATGTTAAGCAGGCAAGTGTTAAGTGAGGAATTACTGTACAACTTATTCTTTAAAGACAGCAAGGAAAAAAGGGAGATGTTGCACTGTGCATCAATAATGAGATCCAGAAGGAGTTGAAAGGCTAACCTGATGAAGGTCTGAATGAAGATAAAGGGAGAGGAAGGGATGACATAATGGTATCAGTGTACTACAGACCACCAAATCAGGAAAAGGAGGTGAATGAGACATTTCTAAAATAAGTAACAGAAACATCCAAATATAAATGGTAGTAATCAGGGATTTTAAGTACACAAGTATCTGTTGGATAAATAATACAACAAAATGCAAAAATATCCATAAAAGTTCCAAAATGTGTTGGGGACAATTTCTTGTTTCAGATGGAGGAAATAGCCAGGAGCAGCCATCTTCGACTTTATTCTGACTAACTGGCAAAAACAGGCTGTGAATCTGAAGATAGAAGACAATTTGCTCAAAGTGATCATGACGTGATGGATTTTATGACTCTAAGGAAAAGAAGCAGAAGAAGTGCAACAGACTTTAAAAAACGTTTAACAAACTGGCAGGTAGAGACCCATGAGAAGAAAGACTAAGCGAAAAAGTAGCTCAAGAGAGCTGGCAGTTTTTCAAAGACTATGTTAAAAAACACAACATCAAACTTTTTCAATGTAAAGGAAATATAGGAAGAACAGTCATAGGCAATATGGCAACATCAAGAGCTCTTTAATGACATGAAAATAAAAAGGAACCTTACAAAAAGTGAAACTACATACAAGTTGCTAAAATGAGTATAAAAGAATAGTGGAAGCATGTAATGATAACAAAGGCCAATACAAAACAAATTACACCTAGCTAAGCACATAAAAAGGAGCAAGACAAAGTTCTGTTAGTACTTTAGGAGCAAAAGAAGGACAAAGCACAAAAGTAAGGTCCACTACTTGGTAGGAAAGAACCGCTTATAAGGGACAACAAAATCATGAAGGCTGAGTTGGTTAATACCTATTTTAATTCATTCTTCACTAAAAAGATTAATTATGACCAGATACTTAGCACAATTAATATTCTGCATATTCAAGCCAGCAGGGCCTGATGAAATTCCTCCTAGAATGCTTAACAAATTAGCTGGAAGCAATCCAGCAATCACTAGTGATTAACTTCAAGATCTCAAGAGGAAGATGGGTTGGAGCCCAGTGAAAATAGATAAATATAGAACCTATCATTCCAAGGGGGAAACAAAGAGGGTCTAGTCACCACTTCCCACAGCTCTTTTACCAAGAGGACAGCAACCAATTCTTCTCCCTGATCAATGAGGTATGACAAGAAGTAATGGGCTTAATCCAGAGCAAGGGAGATTTTTAGGTATCAAGAAAAATTTATCAAATACAAAGTTACCGGGGAAGGGAGAGGTGGGGAGTATGGAATCACTATCATTGGAGATCTTTAAGAACAGGTTAGACAAGCAAATACTTATCAGGAATGCTCTAGGTATAGCTAGTCTTGCCACAGTGATTGGAGATGGACTAGATGACCTCTCCAAGTCCATTTCAGCCCTAAGCTTCTATGATTCCGTAACAGATTTAGCAAAATACTCAAGGGTAGGTTCAACCATGGATATAATTACATATATAATCATACCTACTTTACAGGTAAATATATATTCTTCTGACTCTCTGGGTGTGTCTACACTAGCCCCCTAGTTTGATCTAGGGAGGCTAATGAGGGCGACCAAAATTGCAAATGAAGCACGGGATTTAAATATCCCGCGCTTCAGTAGTATGTTCCCGGCCGGTCGCCATTTGAGAAATTGACTAGCCCGAAGTAACTGCCCACATCTACACGTGGCAGTGAAACGGGATTCCGAATTAAAGCCCTAAATCGAATTAGCTGTTATTCCTCCTACATCCCCATGTGAAGAAATCCAATATAAAATCCTATCCAAGAATAATTTTCATATTATTGGTTATGAGTCCACCAAATTATTCTGTATTTCCCCAACTGGGTGCATTGGGGAAATGTGGGAGTGACAGACAAAGTCACCCCCTTGTAAGTTTCCTTGACTGGTTCTATTTCCATTTGAATAAGAATAAGAGCTATATATTTTAAGTGATCTTCAAGCAGTTTGATCACTTAATTTTTGCATATGTTTCGCATATCATATTTGTCTTTTACATTTCCTGCTCGCCTTACCCTTTCCCTTTTTCCTCATGTCCCTGAGGCAGAGAGTGAACACAGATATACTTTTCCTAGTTCTGAAACTAAATCACCAAACCATGACACTATTTAGGTGCCTGACAAAAAAATGTTTGACCTAAGCTCTCTTTGTAGTTAATGTTCTAAATTGTGTTCCCTGGAACATCCCAAGGGTGAATCTTCTTTTAAAAGAAAAAGAATTATCAGATCTAAAAATATTTAAAAACAGATGTCATCCTACAGGAAATCAACTCTAAAAACCTGGAGGCAGAAAAATTTAGGGTGTGCTGGACAGGGAAAGATATGTTTAACAGTTTCTCCTCCTCAGCCAAAAGTGAAGCAATATTATTTTACAAAACACACAATTTATACATTCTGAATGTAACTAAAGATGAGGAAAGCAGGTTTTAGCTAGCAAAGGCTAAGATCTTTGACTCTCTCTATGCCCTAGTATATATAGGCCGAATAAAGATGATGCAAGTTTTTATGAAAAGTTGCTCATCAATATGAATATACATAATTCAATGACACTTTAGTCAAAATACATTGTGCAACATATTTTGAAGTTATAATCTGCTAAATATATGTATATTCTATTTTCATGCATGTATTATTCTTGCTCTTGGAAGCACGGTTGTTTTATATTTATGAATTTTATTATACATGATAGTATCAAATTTTAACTGGACTTCTATTAAAAAATTAAGTCCAATTATGTTACCTTTATGGTTGAAATTTCTATTTGAATGGATGAGCCCTAATCTATTGCAATTGAAGATCAAAGACCAATATGAAGATCCAATTAATAAAAAATCCAGGTCGATAAAACAAAATGATAATTTTGAATACTAATTTTTTACTATTCTTGAAAGCTTATAATTGAAAACTAAATTCTTCCATTCCCCCCAGTCTCACACATAAAAAGATTCATTTTCTGTAGGGCTTTTCAAATACTGATCTTCTGGTACTATTTTAATTTTTGAAAATGTTTTGAAGTATGTGTTTTAAATGAAATAGTTATATGCAATTTTCACCTTATACGTAAAGTAATGTAGAGCCAATTTTGAAGTATTCATGTAAGCATTCATTCTCTAAAATTTGGGATAACTTGCAAAGAAGTGGCTCATCCAATTTGTGGCCCCAAATCATCAAAGCATTCAAGCATGTTTAATTTTAGCAGGCACTTGTGTTCCTTAGTATCACTTACTTCAATAAATAGGCACGTATTTAAAATTAAGCATGTGATCAAGTGCTCTTCTGACTCAGACAACATGTACAGGCAGTCCCCAGGTTACGTACAAGATAGGGACTGTAGGTTTGTTCTTAAGTTGAATCTGTAGGTAAGTCGGAACTGGCGTCCACATTCAGCCGCTGCTGAAACTGACCAACGGCTGACTACAGGAAGCCCGAAGCAGAGTTGCTCTGCCCCAGGCTTCCTGGAATCAGCCACAGTGGCTGAATCTGG